GCCCCTTGGGTGCCTCTGGGGGTCTCTTGGGGCCTCTTGGGGGTCTCTTGGGGGCCTCCTGGGGGCCTCTTGGGGGGCCTCTTGGGGCCATCTTGGGGCCATCCTGCGGCCTCTTGGGGCATCCTGGGGGCCTCTTGCGGCCATCGTGGAGGAAATCTGCCAAGGAAGTAGGGTTCCTTAATTAGAGCCCCCCCTAGGAGCTCCAAAAATCGCTTCCTGGACCCCTCTTGGATCGCTCTTGGAGCGCTCGTGGCCGCTCTTGGAGCCATCCTGAGGCTCTCTTGGGCCCTTCTTGGAGCTATCTTGAGCCATCTTGGAGCCATCTTGACACCTCGGATGTGCATCGCAAGCGAAAAAGTGAGAACACCAAAAACATTGATTTTCCGTAAGGTTTTGAAGCATTCTGGCCTCTTGGATGCATCCTAATGATGCTCTTGTGGGCACTTGGAACCGTTTTGGAGAGTTCTTGGAACGTCTTGGAACATCATGGGGACCATCTTGAGGCATATTGCGCTATCTTGAGCCATCTTGGAGGGTATCTTGGGCTCCCTGAGGCCCTCTTGGAGCCGTCTTGGGCCATCTTGGGCGCTCCAACGCGCCGCGAAACCCCTTGTCCAGGTCAATGGGGAGGGGGTAGGGGGAGGGGTAAACCCCTCCCCGAAGGGGAAGAGGGAGGGGTGGAAGAGGAAACGCTCTAAACCACCGACGCCCAGAGGGCTGGTGGGATTATTAGTTTGCCGCGCCCGCCCACCCCGAAAAGGCAGAGGCCCCTCGGGGGCCCCCGACGGCGGCCTCCAAGGCCAGAACATATTTGAGCACGTGCAGTTGCGGAGAGGGGCGGGGGAAGGACGGGAGGGCGAGAACGCTACTCGGGCCCTCGGGCCGAAATCCGCCGTCATAACTCATGATTGAATGTCTGGGGCCACTGCCCTTCCATCGTCGCTTTGGCTGGATTCGCCTCCAGATCATTGTCGAAACGCGCCCAAGGGAAGTTGGGGGGCCAGCGGTATCAGTGCCATCTCGCTCCCCCAAGAGCGCGCCGGGGGATGCGGGGAGCGGGGGCGCAGCGCCAGCCGAAGGAGTCCGCGTCCGGGCCTGCAGCCACAGCGCTGAAGCAGCGGTCCCTCTGGGTTGAGCCGGGGATCTTTGTTTTTGGCTGGGCCGCTTCTCAGAGTCATGCCATGGGGCCTCTTCGTGGCTGGCGCTTGCCGTGGCCAGAAGCGCCCCTCCGCTCGTCAGGGTTCCTCGCGGTGGCACGGGTGAGTGTGCTCTGACAGGCGCCGATCTGTTTTTTTCAACTCCGCGGCCCCAGAGCTCCCGACCCGTCCCCTGGGTTCGGTCGTGTTTTTCCCCCGACCCATTTCTGGTGGTCCCGGGGCCCGATCACGGTCCATGAGGGCCGAAATCGAGGAAAAAAATAGGAACGAACAAAGGCAGGTCGTCGGATACCTGGCCGAGGAAAAACGCCGGGATTGAGCAAATGCAGGTTGTCGGATACCCTGGGTGCTCCTGTGCAGCTTTTGCTGGCTCTCTGGCATCGTCCAGTCGGTGTACGGCTACCGCAGTGTCGAGCTCGGGCCCGCTGGGCCGGCGGGCGCCTCTCCGTCCGGCGGCGGGGAGGTGTTGTTCGGCGTGGAGGGCAGCTGCCCGGAGACCTGCCCTGGGGGCGCGCCGCCCGAGGGTGCGGCGGATGTGGAGTTCGCGGCGGAGCTGAACAGGTTGCTGTGAAGCAAGCGGGTCTCGATGACGGACGAACATCACACACCCATACCCATAGGAGGGTCGGAAGTAGGAGGACTGGCCATGGGTATGGACGCGGGTTGTCGGACATTGGGGGAGGTTCCCGTTCGAAGGGGGACCGCCATCTGACAACATGCATCCATAGCCCCCGCCGTCCACCCTATGGGTATGGGTACGTGTTGTTCATCTCGAGGGAGGCGGGTCGTGAGGTTTTTCGCCGTGTTCGGGCTCCTGGGGCCCTCCCCCCCGGGCCGTCAGAAAACGGCTCGGGATGCAACGCTTGTCCTTGGGGAAGGCCCTGGGGTCCAGGGCCTTTTTCGTCGAGCGACGTGAGTTGTGCACCCAACTCTGATCCTGGCCAGGCCCATCCTGGGCACAGGAACGGGGCACAGAGCTCTCCTCCTCTCTCTTTCTCTCTTTCTCTCTCTCTCCTCTGCCAGGGCCTTCCGCGAGCGCGGCGCGGACGTCGCCGTCGCCGAGGCGCGGTTGCGCGTCATCGGGCGCGGCGGTGTCGTCGGGCGCGTAGTCGGGCTCGGCGGCGGCAACCGCTTCATCGAAGTGGCGCTGGGCGCCGCCGCCGCCGCCGCCGCGGTGGTCCTCCTCTGTGTGGTCAGCGTGGACTTCTGCGTTGCCTGCCGCGCCGGGCCGGAGCGCAAGGTTCCATCCAAGCAGGAGGCGGAGCCCCTCGCGCGCCCCCCCGCGGGCCACCGCGCCGGGGGGCCCGCCGCGGGCCCCGGGGCGTTCCTGGGGCTGGAGGACTGCGAGGGAGATGGCCGCGCGGTGCCGGCAATTTTGTCGGGGCTCGAAGGGCAGAGGTCGGGTCACCAGCACACGCTTTCGGAGGCCCGCGCGGATTCCTCAGATCGGCGCTGCCCTGCCTCCCCAGCACGCGGAGCCCGCTGGGGGCTCGGATCGGCGCTGCCCTTCGTCCCCAGCACGCGGAGCCCGCTAGGGGCGGCGACAGAGGCGCTGTCGGGGGGGTCCAGCGCCGATCCGAGAAAAGGCGCGCGGACCTCCGAAAGCTGTAAACTGCGCTAGTGCATTATGTAGATTCTGCTGGGGGAAGCCCTGACCCAGACAAGCTATCCGATCGGAGGGGTCTGTCAGTCCAGATCCTGGATCTCGGATCGAGCTCGGTCGGATGACCCAAGATCCGTGCTTGGAGCATTCGTCCGGGACCAGGAGGCGCGATCTGGAGAGGCCACAGACCCCTCAGAATCGAGTCCTCTGCCAGGGACCAGGGACCACTACGAGCAGCGGGGGCGTCACAATGCCGGGGTCGGCGCAACTAGCTGACTGCGCCCCCCCCCCCCTGTGGAGGGGGGCTGCAGAGCGGCGCCCGCAGCCCTCCCCTGCCGCCCGCGCCCCCCCGATGCCCGCGCCCTTCTTTGCATTGTCCCGCCCTTCCCCCCCTCGTTCCCTTCTGTGCCTCGAGGACTGCGAGGGAGAGCACCACGCGGTGCCGGTCTCCATTAGGGCGGAGTTCCTGCTCGCGCCCGCGCTCGCCGCCGCGCCGCGTCCCGCGCTGTCGTCGCGGCCGCTCGGCGCCCTCGGCGACGGGGCCGCCTCGCCCCCCCTCGGCGGCCAGGGCTCCTCGGAGCCCGCGCGCGCCCTCGGCGACGTGGGCCCCCGCGAGCTCTCGGTGACGTGGGCCGCGCCCGGCGAGCTGGAGAGCCGTTCGTCGAGCCCGCGGCCCGCCGCCGAGGAGGCGGCTCCTCCTCCCTCGCCTCCTCCTCCTCCTCCTCCTGTTCCTCCTCCTCTCCTCCTGATCCCTCCTCCTCCTCCTCCTGCCCTCCTCCTCTTCCTGCCTCATACCTCCTCCTCAATGCCTCCTGCCTTGCCTCCTCCTCCTCTCCTCCTCATCCGCCTCCTCCTGCCTGCTCTTCCGCCTCCATTCTTCATCATGCCTCCCCTCCTCCATCCTCCTCTCCTCCTCCTTTCCTCCTCCTCCTCCTCCTCTCCTCAACTCCTCCCTTCTTCCTCATCCTTCCTGCATCCTCCTCATTCCTTCATGCCTCCTCCTGCTTCCTACTCTCCTGCCTCTCCAGGCCCTCCTCCTCCTCCTCCTCCTCCTCCTCCTCCTCCTCTTCCTGCCATCTCCTCCTCCTGCCTCCTACCTCCTCCTCCTGCCTCCTCCTCCTTCTCCAGCCTCCTCCTCCTGCCTCCGCGCACCGTCCACCCACAAAGGGTTTTCACTTTCGCGCAAGTCTCTCTCTCTCTCTCGAGTGGTGGCCTTTACTTCTGTCCCCCTCAATCAGGTGCAACAGGCATCATCGAATAGCGGCAATCAACAAGGTCATTTTCGCATACAGTGACCAGCCACCCTTAGGGCTGCGTATTCCACCAGCATCTCCCTGCCTCCTACCTCCTCCTGACCCGCTGGCCCACTGATGGCGAGAATGTCATCCTGACGTAGCCGTCCCCCACCCCCAGGCCCGGGGCCGGTCGGCCCTGGGCGGTTGATCAAGCTAATAGCTTGCCGACTCCTGGGGCGGTCGCTCCAGGAGTCACCGGCTGGGAGGTATACTATACTTACTGCAGTAGGTAGCGACAGCAGTGAGAGAGGAGACGGAGAGAGAAGATAGGAACCTCGGGGGAGGAGACCGAGTGAGGTACACGGTGGCGGCGTGGCAGTGTGAAGCGTTCTGCTGATGTGCGGCGCAGCCGCACTCACCAAGGTGGATGGCGCAGGGGTCTCTCCGACCGCCCGTAGGGCACCCGCAGGAAGGGCCCCGGCCCAACCAGAGGAACCCTCCCTCGCCGAGGCAGGCGACGAGTTCCGCCCGAGGGGGGCGCGGAGGTTTGCGCCATCCGCTGTGTCGGCCGCGGTTGCGTAGTTCCCTCTTCCGGCCAGTTGGCTCCGTTTGCCCCCCCTCCCAGTGCAGCGGTGGTGCTGCAGGCGGCGGGGGGGGTGCTGGCGGGTCCCTCGCCGCGATTGCCTTGGGTGCTACGGGTAGGCCTAGGTGAGGCTAGAGTGGCGATGCAGTAGTGTGGACGGTGAAAGCGGCAGAAAAAGCGAGGTGAGAGCAGTGAGAGCTGCAGTGAGAGCTGCGTGAGCGGCGTGAGCGGTGAGAGCTGCAGTGCGAACAGCAGCACGCGTGAGAGCGGTGAGAGCGGCAGTGAAAGCGAGGTGAGCCCACCTTTGGGTGCGAGACAGTGTTGTGTCTCTCGGTGCCCTGAGGTTTTGTCGCTGTACGCGAAACATTCACGATGCCACAACTAGTGCAACATAAGACGGAGGCTGCGGAGGGCACTGCTGGGGGTCCCCCAGGTGCTTCGCAGGTTCTTTTCGGGTTAAGCACCAACCTCAGTGAACAGCTGTGGCCTGAGAACATGTTTAGCCCGCCGCTGGGATCAAGCTGGCCACGGTCAGTGTCACGTCCTGGGGGACAGGGGACGGGATCGTGGACTGCCGCAAGGACGAGAAGTACTCAGTCGTCCTCGTGCAGGAGACCAAGCTCAGTGCAGGTCGCCAGCGCGATGTCCAGGCCAGCCTGCTGAGCCGTGGGTGGCGGATGGCAGGCGCGCGCGCGCGGTGCTGAAACGCTCTGGGCTGAGTGGCGCGGGGACAGCATCCTCGTGCGCAAGCACATCGATTTTTGGTGGGAGGGGAAGGAGGCGATCATCGTGCCAGGCAGGATCGTCGGTGCCTTCTGCCGCCTCCCCGACGCGGGCGAGGTGGTGCTCTGCAGCGTCTACCTGACCACGGGCGCGAGTTTGGCGGGCAACGCGGGCGCGCTCCGAGCCTTCCTGGGCCACTTCGGGGGCCACCGCTTGCCCCGGGTCGCTGCGGGCGACTGGAACATGGACCCCGCAGTTCAGCGGGTCATTTGCATGGGAACGCAGGTGGTGGCGCTCAGCGCGCCGACGTGCCACGCCTCCTGCGGCTCGCGCGCGGCGCCGGGCTACTTCGTCACGGGCGGCTTGGTGGGATTGGCATGCAGCGAGCCGCGCCCTAGGCCTGACTTCCTGGTGCCGACCCACGACGTCGCCGAGATGGGTGTCAGCGGAGTGGGTGACTGGCCCACGGCCAGGGTGGCCCGCTGACCACCCGAGCTGCCGACGGAGCCAGGCAGGAGCCGCTCGACTGGGGCCCGATCATCTAGGGGGGGCTCCAGGCGCTGAGGACGGTGGCGAGCGCCCCGCAGACGGGGACAGACAGGCAGCGGCTGGTGGACCACGTGTACGCCAAGTGGCTGTTGGCTCTTCGGGCCGGCTTTGCTGGGGTCGTCGACGCGACCTCGCCTATTGGGGCGGGCCCATCAGCGTTGTCGACGTGCCGCTCGCCGAGGCTCTGGAGACCAAGGGCAACGAGCGAAGCCGCGCCTGGACTGGTGTCAGGGGGTTTACACGGGCTGCTGCGGCTCATCGGTGGCGAGCTTAAGTGGCCTGGCCTGGCGATTCACCAGGCCAGCCAGGAGGTCAGGCAGGCCAAATTGCTGATGCTTGCTGGGTTGCTAGAGCAGGGGCTGTGCGCAGGTGGCACCTTTGCCCGCCGCGCCGACTGGGCCCCCGAGTTGGGTGCGCGGGCGAAGGCGCTCCGCGAGATGGCCGGCCAGGTCAGGCAGCGGGCGGAGTGCAGCAGCTGCCCGCGCGAGGGGCCTTCGGCCCGCGTGCGGCAGACGGCGCGGCGGGCGCAGGCTGCGGAGGCGCTGGCGTGCAGCAGGCTGCGCGGCGCTCTCGACGGGGACCGCGACCCCTTCGAGGACATTGAGCACGGCGTGGAGGTGGATATTCAGGAGCTAGCCGGCTGGGGTCCCCTCCCCTGGTCCTCCCCGCCAGAGCCTGCGGGATTTCCCCCGGGCGCGGCAGAAGCGGTTGGGGCGGGCGGGTGGTTTGGGCCGCCGTCTGGGGGCTGGCCTGGGGGCTGCGTTGCCGCCTCGCTCAGCCTTGCGGCAGGGCCCGTTGAGTCGTCCGCTGGAGGGGTCGGCAGCCCTGAAGGCGGCGCCTTGGCGGGGGGCGGGCGGCTTGGTGGCGCGCGGGCGGGTCGATGGCGCGCAGCTGTGGCGGCGCGGAGGCGGCCCGAGGTCATGAGACGCAACGGGGGCAGGCGCCCCGCCCGCGGGCGGGGGCGACAGCTTCCTCTGGGCTGCGGTGGCCCTCAGCGCAGCGGCGGAGTGCTTCGGCAAGGAGCACCTGATGGGCCTCCGACGGCCAGGAGGCGCTGCAGCAGGACCTCAAGCGCGGGGCGCACTTGCTGCGCCGATGGTTCAAGGGGCCAGCGGACCCCGCCCCCGAGCTCTTGGACGCAGCCGTGCAGGTCCACGACAGGAGCTCGGACCCGCCCAAGGTGCTGGCCAAGTACCACGGGGGCTGGGCTGCGCACTGGCGCGCGCTGGACGCGCGCCAGGCCGCGGCCGCGGCCGCGACGGTGCAGCGAGTCCTCGACGCCATAGTCGAGGCCGACAGCTGCGCGGCCTCCGACAACCTCGCCGCAGGCAGCAATGTGGTGCGCGCAGCTGGTAGCTTCAAGGCTGCGACTTGCACCCCAGGCGGGATTCGCCCTCGCATGCTTGGGTGGCAGGCCAGCTCGGAGGGACACGCGGGGATCTTCAACCTGGGCACTGCCACGGGTGTGGCGCCAAGCGCCGAGCAGGAGCAGCTTTCGGCGCAGTGCCCCAAGCCTCTGGGGGGAGGGCGGCGGCCGGTCGGCCAGTTCAATGCTTGCCACCGCCTGCGGGGCTAGTGCCGGCGGCCCCGGCTGCGGCGCTGGCAAGCACAGCTGGGGGGCAGAGGGATCTTCAACACAGGCGAGGGCCGCAAGGTCACGGACTGCGCCTGGAGGGCTGCGACGCGGGCCGAGAAGGCCACGGAGCTCGGGCGCCGCTTCGTGGTCCTCTTGTGGGACTTGGCCAAGGCCTTCGAGAAGGTCTCGAGTCTCGCGCCGGGATTCCGCTGGAGGCGCTTCGTCGCCATGGACGGCCTCGTGGCCGACCCCATCCACCGCGACGTGGGCTTGGTTGCGGGGTGCTTCTCGGCCGCGCACTGCCTCGCGCCCTACCTCATCGAGGGCCTCCGCGAGCAGCAGGCGCAGCGCGAGGGCATCGCGCTGGCGGTCCACGTCGACGACATCAGCCAGAAGGCGGTGAGCGATTCGGTCCCGCACCTCTTTGACGCGCTCGCTGCGGGCGCGAGGGGCCTCGGGGCAGCCCTGGAGGTCGACTTGGACATGAAGCCACGGAGAAGCGCGCGCTGCTGGGCAGCTCGGACGAAGTCACGAGCGCGGCCCAGCTGGCTCTATGAAGCCTCGGGCTGCCCCGGGCTTCCTGCCCGAGGGCGCTGCGGCGGGCCCGCAGGGCGGCCAGCGCGTCCGCGCGCCACCTCGGCGTGGACTTCTGCTCGGGGCAGGCGGGGCCGTGGGCGCCTGGGTGTGCCGGCTGTGGCGCGCGGCGCGGGGCCTGTCAGGCAGCGCCGCATCGACGCTGGACGGCGTCGGCCGCGCAAGGCCACGCGGGCCATCAGGCAGGTGGCGGGCTGCCAACGGATTTGGCACGCGGCCGTCGTCCCCGCGGCCACCTGGGGCGGGGAGGTCTCGGGCCTCTCTGTGCAGGAGCTAGGCGCCCTGCGCGCGCGCCAAGGTGCTGGCGGGCCGCCTCTGCGCCTCCTCCGACACCGCGGAGGCCGCGCTGCCCGCCTGGTCGCCCCTGGGGCGCGCGACGGCGCTGACCGTCGACAGGTGCGCCGAGGGCCGGGGGCCTCGGACGAGCCGCAGCGGCCGCGGCCTGGCCCGCGTCGTGGGCACTCTTCTTCTTGACAGAGGTCGCCCCGCACTGGTAACGCATCCGGTTGGGCTTGGGCTTGGGCGGTGGTGTGCTTGGAATTGGTGGCGCGTCGGTGTTGTGTGGTGGGCCTCGAGTTCTCGGTGCCATCGTTCCTGGTGCGCTTTGTCTCTCTGCCGTCGTAGGTACCCTGCCACTGATTTGATCGTTGCTTTGTGTTTGTCTGGTTCGTCACGTGCAGCACGTACCGCTTTTCGACGGTCAGCTGTTGGTGTGGGTCGCTCGTCTTGGACGAGGTAGCCGTATGGCCATGTTATGTCTTGGGCGATCGTATCTGTCCAGCTGGCCTCGTGGTGGGGATCCTCGTCTAGGAGCCTTGGCAGCTCCGTGGGTCCGTGCAGAACTAAGCGTGGTAGTTAACGCAGCCCCCTCGCGCGTCTGGCAATGTCGCGGGGTCGCCTGTCGGTTGGTCTCGCTTAGCACCTGCAAGTTGAATGCCCTGTCTGCCTTGTCGCTGGCGGCGTGATGTCCAGTGGCTTGCCTGTTTTCCTTCGCGTAACTCCACGGCCGTCGCGTTACTGTCAGCCTCGGTGAGCTTGCTCCAGACATGGTTGTTGTATGATAGCGAGGATAGGACTGTGGGGGTCGTTGTAGAGGACCTTCTGGTCTGTCGGGATGTTTTTTTCCTCTGGGAGAATTGTTTGCGTAGTGGGTTTCTGCTCACCATTGCCTTGTTGGTCCTCTTCGTGATCTCGTGGCCTATCATGGCTGAGGCGGTGATTGCGTTGCCGAAGGCCGTGGCGAGCTCTACGGTCTGATCGGAGTGGGCGCTTCCTTCGCCATGTGCTCCTTGGTGGCCTTTGAGTCTGCGCCGAACAGTGAAAGCATGATCTTGTTTTTTTGGCGTTGGGTCGCATGCCGTATGATCTGCTCTGGATTCCACTATCTTCAGGAGTGTGGTCGCCGTGGTGGCACATGTGGCTAGGTCGTCTACACATGGGGCGTCTGTTAGGCACTCGCAGCCGTCGTGCCCAGGGCTTGCTTGGCGCCCCTGTGCGAAGGTGGGCTGCTGGTCGTTGTTGCGGTGGGTGTTGTCATGACTAGTGCTCGAACATGTCCTCGACGATTGACTTGGTGACGCGCGCGACGGCGACGTTTGGCGAGAAGCCAGACATTGGCACTCGTGCTCCGCATTGAACATCACGTAGTCGCGTTGCGGTGACCTGCTTTAGCTTCGTCCGACGATACCTGTGATGATTCTTTGTTATCACGCTGTTCAGTAGGATCAGCCTCCTGTCTGCGAGTTGCTTGCTGTTGGTCGCATTCTTGGCGAATGATGCCTGCCGCCCGCCCTTGTGGGAGAGGGGTTCGACGGTGGCCATCTGTGACTTGACGATCAGCGGGTGGTAAAGTTGCGCCATTTTCCGGCTGGCGGTTCGGCGCATGTCTGCAACGTTGTCGGCCCCCTTTGCCTGTTGGGTTCGGCGTCGTGGAAGCTGGCGGCCAACTTGTCCTTGGTGACAATGTTGGCGATGGGGGCGTCAGTGTTGGCGCGATGCCCGATGGCCTCCTTCGCGTGTTCGTTGAAGTTCTTTGCGATGCCCTTCTGGTGGCGAATCTTGGCGTAGTCAGCGGTCCAGCCCCGCCTCTGCCTGGGCCTGTTCGCAGGTTACGGGCTCGCCGTTGGCGTCGACGGCGAAGCGGTGCTCAGTCATCATGCGTGGAGGTCGTCCTCCAAATCGTAGTAGATGTTTGACACCTTCCCGTTCCATTGTTGAATTCTTGCTGTCTTTCGCGTCCTTGATGTTGTCGGCGTCGTTGCTGAGGAAGTCGTCCTTGTCGGCTCGTATCCTCGATGCAAGTTGTCGCTTAGAATGCTGCAGGCAGGCGTTGCTGGCCAGTTGCAGCTCGTCATGTTCCGCCTGGTGACGTACCACTCGTAGTCCTGTCTTGATGAGGTTTGTCAGCATCGTCGGGTGTTGCATGGCGTGTGTTGCCGTGATGGTGGGGGTTGTGACTTCGGTGAGCTGGTATGCAAGCTTGGCCGTCTGGATACGGGCATTAGTAGAATTAGGTGCATCTTTCCATGCTCGGTATGATCTGTCCGTACTCGTAGCATTGCAACTGTGATGTCGGTGATGTACGGATTCCGCACCCGCGCCGCCTACTGCTTGGCTTTGTCCGCTACCTCCCTGACCTTCTCGTTGAGGTGGATGGCCTGGCCTTTGATGTCGTGCTCCCGAGGACGTAAGTCGATCTTGTTCAGTTCTTTTTTGAGGACTTCCTGGTTTCGCGGGTGGCGATCAGCGTCGGGTCGAGCCGTGGTGCCGAGTGCTTGCTGTGGAAATAGCCACGTCGGTCTGCTGCATCATGACTGGCAGGTGATCTTCGTCCTCCTGGACCAGGTCAGTGTGGCCTATGGTCGCGGCGTCTTTCACTGTGTCCATGTTTCAGGTCGGTATGATAATATAGTCGATTCGTTCCTTTTCGCTGCTTTTTTCTAAGTGTATGCTGGTCTTCTGCACTAGACAGCTGTGTAGACGGCCGTGAGCTTGAAGGTAGCGAGGTATTTGTGGAAGCGGCTGCCGGCGTCGTTTTCCTCGAGCCTCTCGCCGTAATCGTCGATGGCCTCTGGTGTTGCGTTGGCGTCAGTCGAGAGGAGGTCGATGCTGAACGTCAGCGTTCTGTTACTGAGGTCCGCCCACAAGGCGTCGGCTTTCTCGTCTCCCAAGGGGCCGTGTGTGGCATGTGCAACTGCCACCGTTCGACATAGCCCTGGTGCGGTGATTCGTACGACGAGCATCCTTGGGTTTTGGTGCAGCACCTTGATGTGGTTGGGTCGTCTGTAACTTTTGATTCAGTTTTTCTCAGCGCAGGGCATGTCGTCGTCGACCTGTAGTGAGCACTCCAGGTTGTAATTGTCGTGTCCGCTGGAGATGATGTGAAATCTGTGCATCCCTGCCGTTCCTCTCGACAGCCTGGCCTCCTCCTCCGATTCGTCCTATTCTTCCTCTCCCTTCTCCTCTTCCTCCTGCCTCCTGCCTCCTCCCTGCGCACAGTTCCTGCAGCAGCCGGCCTCCTTCGGCTGGCTGCAGAAGTGAGCACCCAGGCAGCCCCGGGTCCGTCGACGGCAACCACCGCCGCCAGCCTGTGTTGCAGGGCGTGCGCGCGCTGGGAAACGCCGGCTGCGTGTACCTGCGCGACTCGGCCGGCAGGCGCACGGGAACCTGGTCTGGGGGCAGATCACCCAGCTTTCCGACGATATGTCATTTGTGTATCCGGTAGTTCTTTCTCGATTTCAGCTTCGGACCCGCTTCAGAGCCGCTAGTGAGCCCCGCGCCGGGCCTGGGGACCAGAACAAATGGATCAAGGACGAAAAGCATCCTCCTGGTAAGAGGTCGGGACCTTTGAGGCCGCGGATTGGCAAAATCAGAGCGGCGGATGTCAGGGAAACCAGACATTCGGCGCTTCGACAAAAGTCGAGGCAGCCAGTCCTGTCGCAACTGTGAACTTCTGGATGCTGGGCTTGAGCTTCAGGGCACCTGGTCGGGGCGCAGGCAATGTGGGGCGCAGGCAATGTGAGGTGAGGCGCGCGTCAGCTTTTTCAGGCTTCCGGCAGCTTTCTGAGGTTTTCGGGGCCTGGTGTTCTCCATCAGCTGCGCCTTCTCAAAGAACGGCCGCTCGAGGTCCGAGGCACGGCTCGAAAGTCAGTCGGAGGAGACTGGACCGAGATATCGCGTGACCCGCCCTTCAGGGTCCGCCCGCCCGACCTGCCCGTTAGGGTCCGCCCGTTCGCTTGCTAGGAAGCCTCCCCGCGCGTTCGAATACCCCTCCCGCCCGACCCGCCTGGTCAGGGTCCCCCCGTCTGGCCCGCCCGTTGAGTCCGCCCGCCCGATCCGCCCGGTAGGGTCCGACTGCCACAATTCCTCCGTCTCTCCTCTCTCCTCACCCTGCTACATTTGTTTGGTCCGCAATCCTCTTCCCTCCCTCTTGGCCCCCCTCCCTTTATTGAGGACGCTGGCGGCGCATCACCGGCCGCTCCCTGGGAGTTTGCCGAAGTGGTGCGCAGCATCGAAAGTCGTGACGCGGCGCGTATGCCAGCTATCAAATGGCCGTCGGCCCATCCCGCGACCGTGCTTGGGTTTTGGGTCGGAGTCCTCATGGACGCTTCTTGGGGTCTCGAGAGGGCTGTCGGGGGCGTCTGCGGGGGAGTTTAGGGGCCTCTTGGGGGCCTGGGGGCTTCTTGGGAGCATCTTGGGGGCTCTTGGTGGCCTCTTGGGGCCTCTTGGGAGCCTCCTGGGGGCCTCTTAGGTCCTCGGGCCTCTTGGGACCGAAAGCTCGGAATGTCCGTTCGGGTTCCCCGTCTGGGCCCCCTCTTGGGGCTGTCCTGGGGCCCTCTTGGTCCGTCCCCGGGGCCTCTTGGGCTGTCGCGGTGCCCTCCTGGGCCGTCTTGGAGCCCCCGTGGGGGCCTCTTGGGCCGTCTTGGGGCGATCTTGGGGGCCTCTTGGGCCGTCCTGGAGCGTGGGTAAGCCGAAATGGCGAGAACGCGAAAATCCTTCAAAAACCATGGACAAATCAATGATTTTTGCATGTTTGGACTCTCTTGGGGGTGCTCTTGGAGGCCTCTTGGGGCGTCTTGGAGGCGTCTTGGGCCGTCTGGAGGCCATCTTTGGCGTCTTGGAGCGATCTGGAACCGTCTGGAGGCTCTCTTGGACGAACCCTCTAGGACCGGCTTGGGGCGCTCTTGGGTCGTCCCCGTGGCGTTCCGGACCTTGAAGCCAGGGGGGGGGGGCCGGCGGCAGAGTGGGGCTCTTTCGGAGGGACTTTCAGGGAAGTTTTTGACCAGGCACTGGCGAATAGGGCCAAAGACTGTGCCGAACACTCTGTCAGAGAGGTCTCGCACGGCCCACACCGCAGGGCGGGAGCGGCCGGATCTCGGCCCCGCTCCCTTTATCTCTGAGGGCTTCACCCCCTGCCGCCGGTCCCTTCTCTATCAGACAGGGACATATTACAGTCGCGTCGGTGCGTCTCGGCGCTGCCTTGGCGCATCTGGCAACATCATGCGGATCCGGATAGGAATCATCAGCGCATATTGAAACGTTGGCGTTATCGAAGAAGCCTACGCCGAATCACCGCCGCCCCCTGCCTTTTTGGAAACGCCTATGTGGCCGAACGTTGTGGCCAGAGGCCTGCCAAGCTATCGGACCATGTGTTCTCCGAATCGGTTTGGAAAGCGTTCGGGGAAAACGGTGGGCCAGGCTGGGCCGACTTGAGCCTTTCTTGGGGTGCTCCAGGGCCGTCTTGGAGGCCATCTTGAGCGTCTTGGAGGCCTCTTGGGCCTTCTTGGGGGCCTCTTGGGGCCGTCTTGGGGGCCTCTTGGGCCGTTCTGGGGCCATCTTGGAGACCTCTTGGGCGATCTTTGGAGGCTCTTGGGCCGTCTCGGGCCGTCGGAAGGCCGAACAAAAAGCAAATGCCACAATTCTTCAAAAACTTTTGGGAAATCAATGTTTTTGGCCTTTTCGGGCCTTCCTGGAGGCCTCTTAGGCCGTCTTGGGCCATCTTACGGCCATCTTCGGCCGTCTTGGTGGGCTCCTGGCCCGTCTGATTCCGTCGGAAGCCGTTTGGGGGGCCTCTATGGGCCGACTTGGGGCCTTCTTGGAATGCTCCAGGGCCGTGTTGGAGGCCATCTTGGGCGTCTTAAAAGCCTCCTGGGCCGTCTTGGGGGCCTCTTTGGGCCGTCGTGGGGGCCTCTTGGGCCGTTCTGGGGCCATCTTGGAGGCCTCTTGGGCGATCTTGGGGCGATCTTTGGGGGCTCTTGGGCCGTCTCGGGCCGTCGGAAGGCCGAAAAGAAGCAAATGCCAAACTCCTTCAAACATCTAAGGAAAACCAATGATACTGGCCTCTTCGAGCTGTCCTGGGGGCCTTCTTGGAGGCCTCTTGGGCCGTCATGGGTTAGCCTACAGCCAACTTCGGCCAACTTGGTGGGCTCCTGGCCCGTCTGACGCCGTCGGGAGCCGTTTGGGGGTCCTCTCTGGGCCGACTCGGGGCCTTCTTGGGGTGCTCCAGGGCCGTCTTAGAGGCCATCTTGGGCGTCGGGGCCCTCTTGGGGCCGTCTTGGGGGCCTCTTGGGCCGTCATGAGGCCATCTTGGAGGCCTCTTGGGCGATCTTGGGGCGATCTTGGGGGCCTCTTGGGCCGTCTTGAGCCGTCGGAATGCCGAGAAGAAGCAAATGCCAAAATCGGTCAAAAACCTAAAGAAAACCAATGATTCTGGCCTCTTCGAGCCCTCCTGGAGGACCTCTTAGAGGCCTCTTGGGTCGTCTTGGGCCGTCTTGGAGGCTTCTCGGGCGACCTTGGAGGTATCTTGGACTCTCTTAGGCCGTCTTGGAGGCCGTCTTGGACGATCTTGGGCGGACTTGGAGGCAATATTGGACCATCTTGGAGGCCATCTTGGGCCAACGTGGCCATCTTGGAGGCCATCTTGAGCAGTCTTGGAGGAGTTTTTGCGGGATTGAGGTCCCGGAGGTCCGTCCTGGCACCCCGGCGGGACGGGCTGCAGCATCAGGTGGAGTTTTTCGGGAAAATGAGCCGAAACCAAAATCGAAATCGTCTAGCACGCCAGGCACCCCTGCGATGAATCGACAGGGGGCGGCGGATCGAAGACGCCTATGGCGAATCACCGCCGCCCGCTGCCTTTTTGGAAGCGCCTATGTGGCCGAACGTTGAGGCCAGAACTGCCAAGCTATCGGATCATAATCGGTTTGGAAAGCCTTCGGGGAACACGTGCCATTTTGACCCTTTCGGGCCTTCTTGGAGGACGTCTTGGAGGGCTCTTGGGCCGTCTTGGAGGCCATCTTGAGCGTCTTGGAGGCCTCTTGGGCAGTCTTGGGGGCCTTTTGGGGCAGTCTAGGGCCTCTTGGGCGATCTTTGGGGGCACTTGGGCCGTCTCGGGCCATCGGAAGGCCGAACAAAAAGCAAATGCCACAATCCTTCAAAAACTTGTGTGAAATCAATGTTTTTGGCCTTTTCGGGCCTTCCTGAAGGCCCTCTTGGAGGCCTCTTGGGCCGTCTTGGGCCATCTTAGTGCCATCTTCGGCCGTTTTGGTGGGCTCCTGGCCCGTCGGACGCCGTCGGAAGCCGTTTGGGGGGCCTCTCTGAGCCGACTTGGGGCCTTCTTGGAATGCTCCAGGGCCGTCTTGGAGGCGATCTTGGGCGTCTTAACAGCCTCCTGGGCTGTCTTTGGGGCCTCTTGGGGCTGTCGTGGGGGCCTCTTGGGCAGTCCTGAGGCCATCTTGGAGGCCTCTTGGGCGATGTGGGGGCGATCTTGGAGACCTCTTGGGCCGTCTTGGGTCGTCGGAATGCCGAGAAGAAGCAAATGCCAACATCCTTTAACAGCCTAAGGCAAATCAATGATTTTGGCCTCTTCGGGCCCTCCTGGAGGACCTCTTGGAGGCGTCTTGGGCCGTCTTGGAGGCCTCTGGGAAGCCTCTTGGGCCGTCTTCGGCCGTCTTGGACTCTCTTGGGCCGTATGGGAGGCCGCTTTGGACCATCTTGGGCGGACTTGGAGGCCATCTTTGACCATCTTGGAGGCCATCTTGTGCCAACGTGGCCATCTTGGAGGCCATCTTGGGCCATCTTGCGCAAACATTCTGAGAATTCCGGGCGGGCCTTCCGGGTGGCCGGCGGGACGGGCCGAAGCCCCAGGGGGAGTTCTTTTGGAAAAAGAACCAAAACCAAAACCGTAATAATTCGGCACGCCAGGCACCCCTGCGATGAATCGACAGGGGGCAGCGGATCGAAGACGCCTATGGCGAATCACCGCCGCCCGCTGCCTTTTTGGAAGCGCCTATGTGGCCGAACGTTGAGGCCAGACCTGCCAAGCTATCGGACCATGTGTTCCCCGAATCGGTTTGGAAAGCCTTCGGGGAACAAGTGGACATCTTGAAGGTCATCTTGGCCGCCTGGAGGCCATTTTGACACTGTCGGGCCTTTTTGGAGGACGTCTTGGAGGGCTCTTGGGCCGTCTCGGAGGCCATCTTGAGCGTCGTGGAGACCTCTTGGGCCGTCTTGGGGGCCTCTTGGGGCAGTGTCTTGGGTTTCTT